TGTAAGTACTTTTTAAAATGAGATAAATTTAAATATGGCCTGAATATTAGATTACATTATTAAATGTTACTTTTTGAGGGTGTGATAAGGGGAAGGTGGTAATATGGGAAAATATACCTTTTTTTGAGTGCAGTGGCATAATCCTAGCTCACCGCAGCCTCCAACTCCTGGGCTCAACAATCCTCCTGCCCCAGCCTCTGCTGTAGCTGGTATTATAGGTGTGTGCTACCATGCCTGGCTAATATTTTCTATTTTTTGTTAGAGACAGGGTCTCACTCTTGCTCAGGCTGGTCTTGAACTCAAACTCCTGGCCTCAAACTATCCTCCTGCCTCCCAAAGTGCTAGGATTACAGTCGTGAGCTACTGCACCTGGCCCAGAATATGCTTATTCTTAGGAGATGCCTACTAAAGGGTTTGGGTGAAGTATACTAGGTCTGCAAGCTACTTTCTAATGATTCAGCAGATAAATGCATATTTATGTATGTACACGCATATAGTAAATGATTGGAAAATGTCATCAGTTAAGAAAAAGTTATCTTTGACACATAGTGTCTTGCTTTTCTTAAAGGTTCTTAGGACCCACACTCCAGATAGTGGATTCAACGATGAAACTATAGCTCCTCAAAGCCAGACCTGCTTATATCTCTTAGAGATTATCGTCTTAAAATTGTCCTTAGTTCAGACTGAAGCCAGTGTTCCTTTGGCAATGCAGGGTTTTGTATCAACTTTGGTTGTTGTCTTGGTAGGTTGAGGAAGCCAGGCATAGATTTTATTAAACAGTTTAGTTCTGGACAGATACCTTTTGTACCTTCATGGTGCTTCCTGTACAAACATTGCCTTTTAAAGACCTTTCTCTGGTGGCACCAGAGGGGGACTGCAAGCCCTGGGATCTGGAGGAGTATCTGGGTTTATGTGAAAATTCATGCACGTTTTACTGTCTATTCTAATCAGAGCTTTTAATCTAAACAACGTCCTCTTCCAAATTTGCAGTTAAAATCAACATGCCAGAAAGACTCAACCTCTTATTTCTAGTCTAATAAAATTCCATTTGGAGAATATTTGTAAATAGCACCTTCAATTCATGAAGTATTTATTGGTGCTGGGAATGCCATAGTGGGGGACACGGACCCACTTCCCACTGTCAGGGGATCCCAGCCTCCAGGGTGAGATCAGCACAGACAGCAGCAGGGCTGTGATGGGAGCAGACAGGCTGGGGTGTGTGTGGAGACCTGGCCCAGGTTGGCTGGTCATCTGGGCTGTGCCATGGTCCTCTGTGGTTTGGTTCTTTCAAGACTGAGCACAGTTTTGGGTAAGGTCACCTTTGGGTAAGGTCACTGTTCCCGGTTCCCTCAGTGGGAACCGGGCCTTTCAGTGCAAGGCCCTTCAGTAGTTTTCCTCCTCGTGGTACAGGAAGAACACAGGGCCTCTGCCCTCTGGTCCCCACTGGCCGTCACTGTGCCAGCTCCCTGTGCTCGCTCCCACAGTAAAGCACCTGTAGTTCTTCCAGGGTTCTTGGTCTGTTGTGTGGCTCTCATCTTGCACCCCTCCTCCTTCTGCCCGGGATGCTTGTAACCCCTCCCACTCAGTGAAGTGCTCCCCATGCTCTGAGTGCTCTGAGCCCAGCTGTGGCGACGGCTCCTCCTGAGCCCCACAGCGTTTCGCACCATGACGTCGCTGCCCCTCACGTGTGACCACGATTGGTGTTGTCTTCACACAACAGAGACCCCTCAATGGCTTGGGTGGTTTTTTCCATCATTTTATCTGTTTATAATTGTGCCTGTGTCAAGCAGATACCAAGAAGTATTTATCAAGTGAGAATGATAAATCCTTTCATCTAGCACAGGAGCTTTCCGTCTCAGCCTCACGTACAAGTGACGGTTGAAAATGCAAATTTGGTGCAGCCACCCCCAGGTCCTGATTAACCAGGACTGGGCAAGATGCAGAAACCTCCCTTTTTAACCAACACCTCCAAGGGGATCCTGAAGTAGCTTCCTGGCAATGTGGGGGGTGACTTGCAAAAATCTTGACTAGAAAGTTGTAGAAAAGCATTACATACTCAGAGAAGATCCTGGAATATTTCCTGGGGGAGGTGATATTTTCTGTGTGCCTTGACTGATGAATGAAAGCTGAGTGTTAGTTAGAAATGTGTCTAACAGAAAAGAATCCCAACCTCATGACTGTGGTGTGGGCACGTGAAGAGGGTGGGTCAGAGACTGGGCTGGGAACGGGGTTCAGGTCACCTGGGTACAAAGTTGGAAACACGGGGCCTCCGACAGGGTTTTGAGTAAAATAAGGACTTGTCTGGGGCTGATGAGGTTCTTTTGCCCTCCTGGGACTGGAGCCCAGCATGGGACTGTGTCATGATCAAGTTTTCTATCTGCTCAGGTTTTCCTTTTTCTAAAACTAATATCTCGTGACACTGTTAACTGTAAAAATTTTGATCTGAAAAAATCCACTGCTTCTACACATACTTAAGACATATTTTCCCTGTACATGGGTCAGAAAACCTTTTCTGTAGAGGGCCTCGCAGTAAATACCTGAGGCTTTGCCGGGTCTCTGTTGCAACAACTCGGCCCTCCCCTTGTATCGTGAAAGCAGCCAGAGACAGCAAGTGAATGCGTGAGCGTGGCTGTGTTCCAGTGAAACTTGACTTACAGAAATAGGTGGTGTGCTAGATTTGGCCCAGTTTGGCAGCCCCCGGTGTAAAGAAAGGCCCAGTTTAATTTATTTCCTTTCCTGTCTCCAGTATAAAATAGAAGAGCAGGCAGTCTTGTCTTCCTGGGGGAGACCCACCCCCACGCCTGAGGTTTAGATGTCACGTGAGCAAGAGGCGCCGAGACAGGAGCCCTGCTGCGTGTACAGAGAGAGGAGCCGAGGGTTGACTGGCTTCACGCCAGGCAAGTGCCTGAAAAAGCCACCCTGTCATCTTCAATCTTTTTCTCAGAAAATTGGCTTTATCAATCGTAATCCAGGGAGCTCTTGTTTGTTTAATGTGTTCATGTGCTCTTGTTGCAACTTGCCCTGAGAACATTTCAGTCCAGCCACTGGTATATGCTGCTGGTTATAGAGCGCGCACTTACTGCTGGGGTATTAACGGCTCGTGGCAAGTGGTGTACGAGGCTGAACGGTGAACACGTAATGCTAACACGAGCAGCCCTTTCCAGGTCATCTTGGGAGACCTTTTCTGTTTACCCACTTTGAAAAGAACCCAGGGCCCTGGCTGCTTGCAAATGAGTAAGCTGCTTTGCAGCAGAGCTCTCAGAGGGGCTTTAGTCCTGGTTAAGCCATAAACTGCTTGCCCTGAAAGCAAGACGAGGTTCAGACTGAGGTTACCTGAGGAGGAGAACCTGGATCCAGCCTTTACTTTTGCCACTTCCAGTGAATCACCAGTGCAGTGGGATGACCATGTTCTAAGGACGAAAATCTCTGAATGCATTTCGCCATTCCTAGTACATTGCCCCAGCATGCATGGCTGGAACCTGCAACTATAGTAGACCAGATGCCTTTTGGGCCTTTTGAGACAGTGCCCATTCCTAATTACATGCTGACCTCCCTTTACCCTTTAAGTATATTTCTGAACATTTGTGCTTAAGGAGTTTTGTAAGTGAAAGCATGTTTTAACTTTGCTGTACATTGCCACTCCAGGTGATCTTGACAGCACTATGCTCCGGGCCCCTCCAGCAGGTAATTATAACTGGATGGTTGGTGGAGGGCGTGCCCATGGGAGTGGCTGTCAGCAGTGCATCTGGTGTGTATGGTGTGGCTTGCCTCTGCCTCACAGCCAGCATCCTGCACACTCTCAGTTGATTTCACCGCGTGATTAAAATGGCTAGGAGAGCATCTGTAACAAGGGAGACTTAACCTCGTCTGGCTCAGAATGATGCGTGCTGGGCTCTGGCCTTGCAGTGTGGCTGCTTGTCCTTTGGCCGAAGCCACTTGTGTTTCTCAGTCCAGTTCCTGTTTCACTGCGGGTGGGACTTGCTGTCAGACAGCTCAGAGGGAGGATGCTGGGTGCTTGTCTCACCGGCCAGGCCACTGCCAAGTGCTGCGTGGGGCATTTACGGATTTGGATGTCTGAGAGTTCCCAGCATTCCAGACAGAAGGAGCCAGTTTTATGTTTTACCTTCGAAATAATGTTAAGAATAATGATTAGGTTCTCATGCTAACCCATAAAGCCACTTTAATACAACTTAGCTGAAATGCTGTACATATCCGGTAAAAAAGTGTCAGAATCATTTTGAGTAGCTAAAGTGTTCATAAAGCCAGCATGAAGTATCTGAAATAGAATCGAGTGATGGCATTTGAGGATCTCTGCACCTAGTTGGAAGATGTGGACAGGAAATTTAATGGATATTCCACAAGCTTTCTGGGCTCTTTAAAGATGTTTTGGAACATTTATAAGTATTTTTATGACTAAGCAGAATATTTATTATATCTGCTGTCACTTTATAACTTACAATTTTGATAGATCTAGATCACTAACATGGTTTTAATACTTATCCTCCATGATTAGGGTGGTTTTGGACTCACAAAATCAAACAACAGAGGGAGATAGATTTTTTTCTATGATAACTGATAAGAATTTGAAATGGAAGAGGAGGAGGAGGATGGTAAAATAGCAGAAACACATTGAGGTTTAAAAAGGAGCTTATAAGCTCAGCAGGAAAGAGGGAAGCCCAGATGCTGGAAGCCCCCAACTCTGCAGAGGAAAGGTGGTGATGGCAGGGGCTGGTGTTGGGGTGCTGGCACTGACCACAGAGCTCCCCCAGGTCCCACCCTGGAGCTGCCGGGGGGAGAGCAGCGGAGGGGAGGATGGAGAAGCCAGTGGCTCCCGCTGCATGGCATAGGAGACCTTTGCAGACCGGGGCTCTTTCTTTCAGGTGTGCCTGCATTAACTCATGTGCTGTATGTCTATGGAAAAGACTGTTAAGCTGTCAAATAGTGAACTACCTCGGTAGTTCCCGATGCCGTGATCATGGTTTTGGTCTCGTTTCTTTTAGGTTACCCCTGTTTCAGGCCAGTGCTTTTGCATTTTTGGCCCCTGCTCGAGCCATCCTGTCTTTAGATAAATGGAAATGTAACACCACAGGTAATTGCAGTTATTTCCACATATGTCATTGGGGTCCTTTAATTCAGGTGATAAAAGGGAGGCCTGGACATGCTGCCCTCAGCAGCGGTAAATCCTTTCTGGAATTAGGCACAAAACACACACACCCACAAACAGCTTAGAACGCTCCAATCTGTAGATCATGTCTGTCTGTCTCTCTCTATCCACTTGTTCATCCCTAACCCTAGAGCAAGAAAGGACCAGAAATGACCTCATTTCTCTATGCTAATGAAATTGATAAATATGGGGACGGAATAGAAAAATATTTGTGCTATTTTTCTGCCTCTCTCTTTCAGTGGATTTTATGACCCACCAGTAATCACTCTCTTTGCTGCGTCAGCATCCCTTCTCTGAAACATCTTTGCTTTTTAAGGATCTGGCTACTGTGGTTTCCTGCAAATGACTTTCCTTCCCCTTCCTTAGTGATTGCAAAGATCCTTAAGGAACCCGATAAGGTCAGATAAAGACAGGGAATTTGAGACAATCAGAGTCAGACTTTCTGTACTCTCAAAATAGGGTTACATTTTGAGGTTCTAGGAGCAAAGTTTTCCAGCCTTCGTTTCCTTCCTTGCTCCTAGGGGTTACTTTGTGACCATTGATTTGATTTTGGAACTGGAAAAGGCCCTCTGTTTTATCTCAGTTTTTAAACCCTCAGTCCAGCAACCTTGCTGTTGGGCATTTCAGTTAGCTGTTTGCAAAGGTTGGCTTTTTGTGTGAGGCTGGTACTAGTAACGTGTATCACCACGTCAGTCAGCTTTTGACAAGTTGGGGAAGTTCTCAGTCGATGAATACATTTGGTTAAATTAGTGTTGGGGAATCCACCTTTCAGTAGGACAAAGCTGTAATGTTGTAGGTCGAATTTTAGGGATGGGTATTGACACATATGTAATTAAAATAGGGAGGAAATTCTTTTTAAAGGGTAAAATGAATATATCCTGTGAAACATCAGTGTCACTCCAAGAAAAATTTTGTTTTTGTTTTTGTTTTCAAGATGTTTCAGTTGCCAATGGAACAGCCGAACTGTTGCACACAGAACACATCTGGTACCCCCGGATCCGAGAGGTAAAGCCGAGCGTTGTCTGCTTGTGGCTTGTGTTTTCTTCTCAGCTTCAACGTTGCTTGTGCCCAGGAAACCACAGCTGATCTTACTAAACCCTTCTTTTTCAATTACGGATACATTTATTTCTGTTGTTAAACTAAATTCAGTTAAGCGTCATTCTAAAATAAAGCACGTGAAAGTGCTTTGTGCAACTAGAAGGAATTGTCTCCCTCCTGTTTCAGACCCACAGGCCTGTCCACTCACACCTTCCAGTGCAGCCAGCTGAGGCGTGCAGCTCGCTAACTAGAAGTAGCCACAGAGGTTTGTGGACAAACAGCAGAGTTGTTCATTTTGGCCTCAGTGTATGCCTGTATTTGTCGAAAGAACTAAAGATATTTGTCTGCCAAAGTGCACTTGAACAGAATACTGTGTGGCAGTCCCCAGACATGAAGAACAGTGACCGTTTGTTCATATTTTCCAAGATCTATGAGGTAATCCACCTTTAGTTTAGAATGAGCACAGATATGGCCATTCTGCACACTAGAAACATTCCTTAAGAATTTTTGTCAGTAACACTATTTTGTAAATGTCCTATAGGGGCTCACTCTTTAAAGCCAAGAGTCTTTGTGCTGCAGTGTTGTGTTTCTTAAATGGGGATTCACTGTATCATTTATCAGTGGATAAGGCAAGTGGGCTTTGAGTTCAGTGCCCGTTTTTGTAATATGTCTACATCAGTGCTGTCATACTTTGCATTTGCTAGGTCCTGCTTAACCCCACTGAAGTTTCTTATCGGGGTCCAGGGCATTTTCTAGCTGTGTCATGCCTGTTAGATAATACGGTACCTTGTTGCCTTACAGAATTATCAGTTGTGGTTGCAGGTGACATTCAGAGTGTCCAGCACAGAAGCAGCTCACTCTCACGTCTGTGCCATCTCCTTTTTCCAGATCCAGGGGGCTATCATCATGTCCTCATTGATAGAAGTGGTCATAGGCCTCCTAGGCCTGCCTGGGGCTCTGCTGAAATACATCGGGCCCCTGACCATCACGCCCACAGTGGCCCTCATTGGCCTTTCTGGTTTCCAGGCAGCAGGAGAGAGGGCTGGCAAGCACTGGGGCATCGCCATGCTGTAAGTGTAAAAATCTCCCGTCATCCCACCACTGTGGGACAGCCTTTTGGAACACTTGTAACATTCACACTTTGGGAGGAAAAAAATTTTTTTTTTTTTTTGAGTAAGAATGGTCTGACAATTTGAACTTTATTTGCTTCATGCTAGAAAATAGTTGAAGGACTTTTTAGACCCAGAAGTTGGGAACTGACATACACTCAAGATATTCCAAAGACAGACTTGGCAGTGATGTGTAGAGGGTGGGTTGCAAGGTTTTAAACTTTGGTAATGGGGTAAGATGGTAGTGCCATTACCTCTTGGCTTCTGAGACCATGCCAAGTCTCGTACGTAAGAGTTGAAATACTGAGAAGCCACATCTTTAGATGAGACTCCAAAATACTTCCAGACTGGCAGGAGACAGAGACGCCACAGGAGGGTCTGTTGGCATTGAGAGTGTGACTGCCACCCAGGCCAAGCGGAGCTCTGCGCTCTGGCAGGGGTTGGGGGTGTGATTTCTTCCAGGATCCTGCTAGTCAGAGCCAATCCTTTTGCACAGAACTTTAAGTCCATCATAGATGTCTCTTGCCCTTTAAGTAAAGTCACTTTTGTGTTAGTGAAGAAGACATACAGGACTTGGATAATGTAAGATTGATAAGAGCCAGAGAGTTCTGGGTACCGCAAATTGAGTCCACATTTTCTTTGTGTGTGTCTGTAGAGCATATGTAAGAACTGATTATCTCATAGGTAAATGGTTCCAGGACTCTGGAATTTTACTGAACAGTAAAATTTCGTGAAACAAAGTAGTAACATAAGGGAATTTCCAATTCTTTTGTTTTGCTTTATGTAATATTCTGTAATTATTTAATTATTGATCTTTCACTGTGCATTGGTGCTTTACATAACATTTGTAATATTATAAGATAAGGCAGATGCCAGTGTCATCCAAACGTAACACCTGAAGGTCTGAGACATAAACATGCAGTGTTACTTGCCCAGCATCTCACAGATAGTAAGATGGGTTCAAAAACTCACGAGGTCTGATTAGGATTTAATTCATTACATTCAGTCCTGCTTCTGTGCATTAGGGCATCATGCACAAATAAAGTGGATCATAGCAAAAGTGCAGTCCACATACATCGTTACAGATTAAATCAAGATATGCAAAAATATCCAAAATACTCAAGATCTTTTTAAAAAAAAAAAAACAAACTACAAGATTTAAGGGAAACACACTTCGCACATGAGTGTGAAAACCCAATCATCACACTTGTCCAAGATTGTTCTTAATTTCTTCATTTCACCACTAGCACGGGTGTGAAGATGGTGCATAAGAATGTTCACTCAGTGATATGTAATTTTGCCAAAAAGGCAAAATTGTAGTTACAATACAGTAAAATTAGAAACCAGCAACAAAAGCATGAACAAAAAACCCAAACCGCTTAGAAGCTAAAGAAAAAATTGTTATAAATAACTCTCAGAGAGGAAGTTGAAGCTTCATAATTACTGATAATTTAGCAAATGATGACAGTAACATCTAATCGTGCTTAGAGAGTTCTCAAGAAAATTCATAACCTTTAAGGCAAATAAAGCACATGAAGAATTTGAGTAGCTAGGAAAACAGGACAGAAAATGAACCTAATGGAAGTGGGGGGGGGGAGAGTTAATAATATTTCCGAAAATGTGAAACAAAGTAATAAATCTAAACGCTGGTCGTTTGGGAAGAGAAAACATTGTAGACAAACTTCTGGCAAGGCTAATGAAAACAAAGAGAATACCTGTGGAGGTATCTGGAGGGGTAAACGGCAGTCCAGGCAGGAGTTAAATCTGCTTCCTTCCCTAAAATTGAGAAAAAGAAAAAGGTAATAAAATGATGGATTTCCAGAAAACCCTCCTCCGATCGTGATTCTGGCCACCTCCTCTCCACGTATGGTACCCCTAGCCCAGGCAGTCTCATCTGGGCCAGGGCACCAGCAAACATTTTTTCTGCTGGAGACGCTCACAAACCAGTAGCTCGTACCTGAGAACTCCAGACTTACAGATCCAGCCCCCACCTTTCCCTCTGCACTTGCAATCACACATCTCAAGCATGACTGAAGAAAGCACCAGACTCTGATTCCCTTCTGCCCCGAAACCACTTCCTTCTCCTGCCTCCCTCCTGTCAGTAAGCAGCACGACTGTGCTCCCAGTTGCTGAAGCCAAAACCCTGGAGCTGTCTTGATTCTTCCCTTTCCCTCACCCCCACCTCCAGAGCAAATTCCGAGTCTGTTCTCTCTGGGCCCTCACTGTCGCCCCCCAGGCAAGCCTCCCCCTCTGCCGCCAATTCCTCACTGGTCCCCAGCCTCTCTTGCCCTCTGCCTGTCCATTCTCTGTCCCGCAAAATGCTCAGCCATTAGTGTCTCCCAAGGGTCCTTCTCTGTCCTCGCCTTTTGAAACTCTGATTAGACACCAGCTAGAATTCTGCAAGCGTTTAGGTTTCCTGTTTGTCCCGATGTCTGACACCTCATCCACTGCCCCGCTTGGGTCTCTTTATGCTTCTTGGGCTGGGCCCTCGGGGCCCTTTCCCTCTGGATACCAGGCATGCAGAAGCGGGAAGTGATCTTGAGTTATTTCACCAATGTCTTCTTCCACTCCACCCTTGCTTATGTCTTCCCGGAACTTCAAGGATATTGGACCTCCTGGACTCCTTCTTTCCTTGCCTGTTTTCCACCTCTTCATCTTTTTTCTCAAGTTGTGGGAATTCTCCTTCAGTCAAGCTTTTCATTTCTGCTCCTTTGTTTGTTTGTTTGTTTTTTTAACTTTCCAAGAGCTCTTTGTCCTGGGGCTGTGGGCTCTGTGAGGGCAGGTCCTCCCTCTGGGCTGGTCACCATGGCACCCCCAGCACTTAATCCACCTCCTCGTTGCAGAGCAGGTGCTCAGTAAGCAGATTGTGAATAAGGGAGGGAAGGTTCAGGAAGCTGAATAAACCCATGACCACAGGAATGGTCGAGAATGTTAGCGAAGGACTTTGATTCCTAATGGAAGACCTGGGCCCAAGTGAGTGTACTAATCTTCAAGGAAGAGAAAATTCTGCACTTTTTAAAATACTCTAGAGCTTTGAGAAAGAAACTTCAGTGAGTTTTATCTTCGTGGCAAATCCTGACTGAACTAATACTAGAGGAGAACCGTGGACCATCATTTTCCTTCCTGAAGTTGTGTTAAAAACCAAAAAACCCCTGAGCTGTTCATTGTCCTTTGGGCACTTCCCAAGCAAAGAGTTCTGAGATCAAATATGTTCAGGTAGCTTGCTACAGTTCAGAATCTTTCTCTACTGTAGCATTCCTTGCAAATCTATCAGGGCTCCATTGTGGATTTTATTAATAAATTCTTATTAATAAAAACCATGGTGACAGTTAAAAAAAATTTATATTTGATCATCCTACTTCTTCGCTGCAGACTGTTAACAGTGTGGGAATAGAGTGATCTTTCTTAAATAAGATTTTTAAATGCCTCGTACTGGCTTCTAGGGCCCCAAGCCCTCCCAGCTGGGTCCTTGCAGTCAAGGAAAAAGTTATTTAAAAAAAAAAAAGCCTCTTACTTTAGAGGTGAAAGACTGAAATCAGGCCTGCCTGTTGAAATCAGGAGCCAAGGTAGCATGCTTATTATCAGTCATTTAAAGTTGTTCTGGATGTGCTAGCCAGTGCATAAGACAAGAAATAAACTAATATGGATCAGTCCCAAAAAGGTCAGGGAGAAGGGAATAGTGACTCCCCCCTATAGGAATACATTCCAGAGCTTCATAAATGATACTGTGTCCCTGGAACAGGAATAGACATACGTAGAACAGAATAGGAGGGACAGAAACAGAACCAAGTAAAAAAAAAAAAAAAAAAAAAAAAAAAATCAATATTTATTTTTATAATATTGAAAGATGGCAGTCATACTTGAAACCAGTGGGGAATGGACACATTGTATAGGAAAAATTAGATGATTATTTAGAATAAAGTTAGATTCCTAGTTTATATAAAATTATATTTCAATTGAATTAAAGACTTAAATACAGAAAATAAGACCATGAAAGTGCTAGAAGAAAACCTACATAAATATTTAATCATGAGGGATGGAAGATCTTTTTTAAAGCAGATATTGAAAAGAGAAAGACTGATAGATTTTACTATTAATGCATTTAAAATACTTATCAAAAATCACCGGATTAAAAACGAATCTGGGAAAACATTTATAAAAATTGCACAAGAAAGGCTAATGTCCTTAATTCATAGAGTTTCACTAATTAACTTAGAAGAGAGAGGGAATCCCAATGCACTAATGGATGCAGGATATGATATGGGTAGTCATTTAGCAAAAAAGAAAATGCAAATAGCTGATTAATGTTTCAAAACCTTTATCCTCGATAGTTACCAACGAGTATATTGTCCACATGATTCTATTAGAATTGGGAGTGGATCAGGTTGCACCAACATGGGTTTCTAAGTCACTCCAACAGTGATGGAATTTAGAGACACAGTCTCAGGGGAGGGTAAGTGTGGCAAATCCAGTGACTGCTATTTCTAGAACAGTGTATAAGTCCTTGATAGAAACTGTGTTTTTCCTGAGAAAACTTGTTTTTTGTTTACTTTTCTTATGGAAAATTTCAAATCTGTTCAGAAGTAGGGAGAATAGTATAATGAACCCCCCACATATCATTACCAGACACCCAAGAGCAGTATACCTCCCCACCCCTGTTTCCCAGCCTCCTCCAATTCAGTTAAAGTCTAGATGTTTGACATTTAACAGTAATTAAATAGAGAAAGCTAAAGTAAAACAATAATCCCCTCCCACTCAATCTCTCAAAAAAATTTCATGATTGTTAACTAGTAAAAATTAAGCATTTATCCCTCCATATTTTTATTTTTTTATGCAAATACAAACATGCACATAAACAGCTTTACTATCATATTATTTTATAATTTGTTTTTCACTCTAGTGATTTGTCGGGCTCACCTTTTCAATTCAGTTGTTTAGATTGGTCTCAGTCTTTGTAAAGCTGCACAATCTTTAACAGTATGAATAGTCTATAATTTATTCAACTATTTCCCAATTGATGCTCATGCATGTTGCTTACAATTTTTGCTGTTGCAAACAATGCTAAAATACATATCCTAATGCATAAAGAATGAATATTAAAATAAGCGAGGATACAACTTTTTAATTAAAGTTTGTTACTTTCAGCGTCATACAGTATGGGAATTGTTAAACAGGACGTGGCGGGTCCGTAAAGTGGAATGCTGAGCCCGCCAGTGAGGTGCTGATGCAGATCTCCATCCTGTGAAGTGGGAAAGTGTTCTTGGCATTAGCGGTGCTAGAAGCAGGTTAGGAAGCAGCATGTTAAGTATGATCCCAGTTTGGGTTAGAAAATGACCTGTCCTTGTCCTAAGGACAAGGAAGATGACAGTCTGTCAGTGCCTGACACCCAGCAAATATCTAGGAAATGAAAGCCATTCAGAACAGACCAGAATGTTGCATGGTTTTATCACCCAAAAGGAAGATTACGAGTTATCTTCAGGGTTTTGCCTCTTTCTTTTTGCTTATCTACCTTTTAAATTTTTTCTGTAATTTGGTATGCATGACTTGCATAATATTTTAAAGTAAAAGTCAACAAAGAGGCAAGATGTAAACATGAGGTGGAACATAATTGATCTCAGAACTCTTTGCCTGGGCATAGTAGGCATAGTAGGTGGGACCTGAAGAGCCGAGACTAAAACCATTGTCCCTTCTCTGCTCAGTCAAGTTTTGAGAATGGAGACATGCCCCCACCTCTGCCTGTCTTGGGGGTGTCTGCCCCCAGTTATATGTGATGGTAATAATAAACTAGTGTTCATCTGCCTAATCTGCTTCCCTAGTTTGAGTTGCTAGATTTGGGCCTGAGATCTGCGCCTTCTTCGAAGTCTGTGTTCTCTCTCCCCTCTTAAACATGCTTTGAAAAGTCAGCACATCATGCAGGTGGATGTTGCCTGAAGTAGTAACAGCAGACTTGAGGCTTCTTAGGATCGTGTTATATTCACTTTGAGACAAATTAAGTAGCACTTAGTTTTTCTAAACATGAAAATTCTCTGTAGGCCGAAGTTTAAAATGTGCCAGTTTTAGTGTCCCATGTCATCATACTGTTTTTTGTTAAACTTCACTATCTCAGAGGAATTGAAATAACTTGGGCACCATGTGTGTTTTCAGCCTCGAACTGGTACTAGCAGAGACACCCCCCCACCCCCCCAAATTCGGTGATCACCAGTCCACCGAGGTGCCTGAGCAGGCGGGGTGACCCGCAGGGCAGCACATGCCTGTTTTCCCACCAGGCTGCGGTCCACACCACGTTAGGAATGTGACAATGAAGCCACACTTGACTGGCTGTCAGTGGAGCTAATGATTCCATCTCAGCAGTTGGAACCGTGCCCAGGAACAATTAGCTTAGCTTTGACTGAGAACCCACTCTTCCTGCCAACTCTACCTCAGGTCGTAAGTGAAAGCGAGTCCGCATGAGGATCCGACACATGCGCCATTATTGTTTCAGTGACTAGTAAATGCCCCCCCCCGAGGGGATGGGAAGTGGTCTCACACCCACCAGCCACACGGGGCACCAGACGGATGAGAACATGTCAGGGTCCCGCTCAGGGAGGTCACTGCCTGTCGCTGCCTCCTGTGGTGCTCGGTACAGCTCGGTCAGCCTGGAGGCTCAGAGGAGAGGGACTTCTGCAGCCAGCCTGGGCATTCCTGCCCTGTGATCAGAGGACAGCAGCACGGGCTGTAGAGTTACACCCCTGGCCCCACCACGCGGAAGCTTCTCAATGTGCAATCTTGGACCACTGGCTTTGTCTCTCTGTGAAAGGGGGATGATCATAGAAGCCCGCCCCTTGAGACTGAGGTGACGCACAGGAAGACCTTAGTCTGATGTCTGGCACAGAAACTGCTCAGGAGTATTATTGATACTGAATTCTGAATACAGTTTTCTATAATGCTGAAGTTATTTTGTTCTGTTAAAAGTAATTCGTGCTCATTGTAAGTAAATCAGAAAATACAGAAAAGTGGAAAAACCAGTCACAGATTATACAACCTCCTAAAGCTAATCCCCATGAACAGTTTGGCTCATGTCTTTCTCTCCTGTTTGTGTGTGTGTGTGCAGTAGTTTCTTGGTTTGCTTTATAGTTAATTCATAGTTGTAATTTTACTGTGCATTAATTACCGTTCTTTTAATTTCAAATATTAGGGGGATACAAATGTTTTTGCTACATGGATGGCTTTTATAATGCTTTAGTCAGGGCCATAAGTGTGCCCATCCTGGAGTAGTGTTCACTATACCCGTTAGGTAGGTTTTCACCCTTCGCCTTCTCCCCCTCCCCTACTGCACATCCTGTTTAATGTGGCACCTTTTCCCCTTCCATAGTGTGAGCTTTTCCCATCAATGTGTATATTCTTTGGATTTTCTCATTCTGTTTAGGAAAAGTTAGTCAAAGACATTTATATTACAATTTGATTTTGGTATCAAGAAATGCTAGATAAATTAATCATAACATCTTTCCCAAAATGGTATTTCTAAAAGATATGATTTCCCAAACAGTGGTTAAGAGGAGTAGCAGCGGCCGGGCGTGGTGGCTCACGCCTATAATCCTAGCTCTCTGGGAGGCTGAGGCGGGCGGATTGTTTGAGCTCAGGAGTTCGAGACCAGCCTGAGGAAGAGTGAGACCCCATCTCTACTAAAAATAGAAAGAAATTAATTGGACAACTAAAAAAATACATAGAAAAAATTAGCCAGGCATGGTGGCGCATGCCTGTAGTCCCAGCTACTCGGGAGGCTGAGGCAGGAGGATTGCTTGAGCCCAGGAATTTGAGGTTGCTGTGAGCTAGGCTGAATCCATGGCACTCTAGCCCGGGCAACACAGTGAGACTCTGTCTCAAAAAAAAAAAAAGAGGAGTGGCAGCTTTCTAAGTAGATAAATTGAGCACATGGAGCCATTGAGGTATTTGGTGTTATTTTACAACACAAACATAATAGCCTTTAACCTGGTTTATTTTCTTTCTTTCCTCAGGACAATTTTCCTAGTATTACTGTTTTCTCAATATGCCAGAAATGTAAAATTTCCTCTCCCAATTTATAAATCCAAGAAAGGGTGGACTGCATACAAGTTACAGCTTTTCAAAATGTTCCCTGTGAGTAGTTGACTCCCCCCACCCCCCACCACCAACCCATGACATTGCCTTTGGTTCGTATGTAAGATGTTTATGTGAAGGGAGGGTTTTAAGCAGGCCTCCCTGGGAGGGACTGTGTCTGTGGGTGACATTGTTGTATAATGATCACCCAAATCATCACAGACATGATGTTTAGAAGTGGTGAGAGGTTCTGATTCTAAAGTGGGAGCCACACCCTGTGAGCAGTGCCAAAGGACAACCTTGCCCTTGGGGCTGAGTGAGATTTGACTCTGTGTGGCCTCTGCAGACACTATGTCCATTCTTACCTTACTAGCCAGATTTCAGAAGGGCTAAAATCAAGTCACCTCAGTGAAACTGGTCTTTCAGTTTGATTCCGTTCAAGGAGTAGGTCTGCAACCCGCTGACCATGGTGGATTCTGGGGTGTGCTATTGAGACCGTGGGAAGGTGTGTGTTTTGCCAACAACCATGAGCTCTGCTGGCCTGACAGCTTTCCCTTGACCACTTCAGATAATCCTGGCCATCCTGGTGTCCTGGCTGCTCTGCTTCATCTTCACGGTGACGGACGTCTTCCCTCCCGACAGTGCAAAGTACGGCTTCTACGCTCGCACGGATGCCAGGCAGGGCGTGCTTCTGGTGGCCCCGTGGTTCAAGGTTCCTTACCCATGTAAGTATTCCAGGGGCCAGGGAGGTCAGGAGCCAGGCAGAAAAGCCTTCTTTGTCCCAGAATGTCTCCTGAAGTTCTTACCATTCTGGTCATTAGAGGATTAGACAACAATAAAGGGGAAGCCCTGTTCCCAGAGGGCAGTAATCAACACGCGGAGACCAGTTCCCTTCTCGGATTAACCAGTTGGCTTTTTGGGGTCCACTAGGAGGAAATCCCGGGCAAGGGGTCTCTTGCCAGATTTGAGCTCTGGTGGCTGGGATTTGAGGACAGCTGCTTACAAAGGCAAGTACAGACCTGTTGGTACCAGAGCTGCCATAGTGAAAAGGCTCGATTGGGAGGGCCTGAAGATTAGCAGGCAAACTACTCAACCATGATGGAATTTATGTAATCTTTTAATGGGTGGCAGTAATCCTTTTCATTTGGTCCAACTGTAGAGGTAAATTGATAGTCACAAATGGCCGGAAGCCCGGTCTTAAGTTGTAATTTGAGTGTTGAGTAACTCTTGGGGGAAGAGGAAGAGAATATCCCTAGCAGAGGTATCACCTGGATTCATGAGTGCATGTTCTAGACCCTAACCCCAGAAGCGACCTGTATGAACCCAGTGGTTGTTACATGCTTGGTGGTTCTATTGGGGAGACTCTGTTCCCAGCATTTGGGTTTTTATTAGAATTGGAACCTGAGCTTAGTCAGGGTTAGCCAATTTATTCCCTTGTTTAGCCATCTTATTTTCATATTTTATAATGGCAAGAAGGAAAAGCAAAAAAAAAAAAAAAAGACTACAATTTTAAGGTTGGGTAAAAGATGACTTCTGTCAGCCTGTTGAATGACAAAGACGTCAGTGCTTGTTCCTTTTGTCCTCAGTACATTGACAGCTTCAAAAAGTTTTGTCTTTCTGAAATAGCATTCTCATCAGATCATATGGTCTAAGTGTGTATTTATATATACCTATCCTTTTTCCAAAAAAGAATGTACACGCTTCATAAATATACCGATAATCCTTGATAAATTAAAAAGCATTGGTGAGGCAGTCGGGAGGAGGTGGAGGGCAGTGGGTAAGAGGAAGGCCCCATGGCACATGTGGAATGGTCCTCTCTGCCTGTGTAGGCAGCTCTCCAGGTGAGCATCGGTAGGAACACCGCTGGGCTGGCCAGGAGAAGCAGCTGTTCATGTGCTGAGACCAGAGAGATTTCCCCCAGGGACCTCACGGGGCCCATACAAAAGCAGGTGTGACTCAGTGGACAGAGTGCTTGGAGTTGTACGGGCAGTGTGCGTGCGTGCGGGGCTGCTGTTAGCAACAACCCTTGATTGCTGAGAGCTGGTGTGTTGCTAGAGCTTCACTAGATAACAGGCCACCCCCAGAGATGTAGTCCTGGGTACTCTCCAGTGATTTGGCTTAACCTGGAGACAGGCTTTCAAATATTTAGAGCAGTAGTTTTCAATCCTTATTGTGTTAAGAATGACCTGAATCTGTAACATACAGATTTCTGTTCCAAAATGTCAACAGTGCTAAGGTTGAGAAACCTTGCTGTAAAGTTTCAAAATAAATGAAAGATTCTAGGTAAAAGGAGAAATGAAGTAACAGATTTAAGATAGAAGGCTGGAAGCCAACAAGGTTTAAAAATAAATGTATCTAAATGAAAAAGGATCAAAATAAGAATCTCCCCTCAAAATCAAGACACTAAAATGAAACCACAGTGCTATTACAACAATATCAAGGTAACAGTAAAAGAAGATTGTTTAGAAAAAGCAAAGTGTTGCTTGGCAAAGAAGGCCTCTGGGTGAGGGAAATCCATCCCTAACCAACCCACAGGTGAGACGCTGACGCTGTTGCCAATAGGCATAGAATGTGCCGTGCCCTGCGCGTGGGCCTGTGGACCGTGTACCTCTGACCCTCATATCCTCTGCCTGCTCCCACAGGGTGAAACAGCTCCAAGTGGGAGCAGCTCTACCCTCGAACACACTCCAGGCCTGTTCTGCACATCTGACTTTACGTGTTATTTTTCCCTTCCCCTTTACCTAGGACACAAAGGCCAGTCCCCTCTGGTGGCTCAGATGGCATACTGAGTCCTTCCCAAACTTGCCTCCCGCCCCGCGTGAGCGCTCTGTTTCCATCAGAGTGCCCTCTCCTTTCATCTCCCCTCTCAGACGAGCCCCATCCTTCAGGGGGCACTGCCATCCCCACCTCCTCCTCTAGTCCTGCCCCCTTCCTGACTTCCTCACTTCTCTTCCTGGTGACCCAGCTCAGCTGCATTCATTTGAAGTTGCCCCATCACACTCTCCCTGGGACTTCGAGTGTCCTGTTGCCCGAGCGACACTGTGGGCTCCTGCGCGAGAGACCACGTTTTGTCCATCTTTCTTTTTCCACTGTGCTTTGTACCTAGTTGGTGTATTATATCTGATGGTTCAAGGGAAGAAGGGCTAGCTCCTTTATCAAAGGAGTCTGTTCATTCGAATGCTGAAAGAGACCCATGCTATTTTTATCAAGAAAGATCTATGGCTCTCAAGTCCAAATAGATGTATTTTTAAAGAAAAAAAAATCTAATGAAGAATTAAGTAAATCCAGATACTCAAAATAGAATTACAGCGGAATGTCTCTTTGCTTGCTTAAATGAAACTATTTAATTTCCTATAAATCATTTATGATTTACTTTAAAAATAAGGCTCTGGTATCATAGAGGAGAAGGGCTGTCCAAACTTTGTGCGTGCCTGACTATTGCGATTTAAATTTAGCTGGCGATTTTTCACTGCTTTGCATTTGATGCCATTCCCTGGGCAAGGTCGCTGTTATTTTGTACCATGCTCTGTGCAGCAAGGCTATGAATTCCTCTCATATGAATTGCTATCCCAACGTTGCAGGCCATATTAAGTTGTTATTTAGTAGACACTGAACGTGACTTTGGAGCAGGAAGAGAAGCAGCCACCTCTTCTAGCCAAGAGATTTCTTCTTCTAAGTAAAGACGCAGAGCAGATCATCCTCATTATGGCCACCTTCCCCTGCCTCAGTGACGTCCCAGGCATCTGGTACATTCATGATTAAGATTTAAAAGTAAACGGTTTCCACGAGCTTCAAAATCTGAGTGGATCTTGCAGGGTCCTCCAGCATTCAGAACGCTTTCCGGTAACTGTGGCCCTGGTAACTTTTGCCTGCCCCTCTGGGAGCCCTCACGGTGGTTTTCCTCCCTCAGTTCAGTGGGGACTGCCCACTGTGTCCGCGGCCGGTGTCATCGGCATGCTCAGCGCCGTGGTGGCCAGCATCATCGAGTCTATCGGTGACTACTACGCCTGTGCGAGGCTGTCCTGTGCCCCTCCACCTCCCATCCACGCCATAAACAGGTATGTTCCCTGGGCCCAGCTCCTTGTTACGTTGCTCTTAGGTTTCAGTGACTGAAGACAAAACCAAGCGTTTTAGCATGAAGGCAGCCAAGCAGCAGGACTACTTCTTGGCTGTTTGTGGTCAGACACATCACTGCCCCTTGTTCACTTTCATTTTCCTCTTCCTGACACAAAACAGAATTCCTACCCTCCCTCACTCACAGTGACAATCAGATAAGATACCCTCCCTGAAACCACTTTAAGCCTTAAACGCCCTGAAACAAATGCCAAGCATCACCCTGTTCTTTGCTTGGTTTTGTGTCATTTGTGAAAGGTGCCCACACACACACACACACACACACACACACACACACGCACGCACGCACGCACGCCCGCCCGCCCGCCTTTGATTTTCTTTTTTCTTTTCTTTTCTTTTCTTTTTTTTTTTGTTTTTTGAGACAGAGTCTCACTCTGCTGCCCGGGCTAGAGTGCCGTGGCGTCATCCTAGCTCACAGCAACCTCAGACTCCTGGGCTCAAGCGATCCTTCTGCCTCAGCCTCCCAAGTAGCTGGGACTACAGGCATGTGCCACCATGCCCGGCTAATTTTTTTTTTTTCCTATATATTTTTAGTTGTCCGATTAATTTCTTTCTATATTTAGTAGAGACGGGGTCTCGCTCTTGCTCAGGCTGGTTTCGAACTCCTGAGTTCAAACAATCCGCCCGCCTCGGCCTCCCAGAGTGCTAGGATTACAGGCATGAGCCACTGCACCTGGCCTATCTTGTTTTTCTTAATTTATTTCTGTATATCTTGTCTTTGATTTTCTTGTCTTGTTTTTCCAACTGTTCTTTTTTTTTCCTATAAACTAAAATTTTAGATTCTTTGGAGTAAAACAGGCTCTTAACTGTTTATAGGGTTATTTCTTTTTTCTTTTCGTTTCTTTTTTTCAAAGAGACAAGGTCTCACTGTGTTACCCAGCCTGGAGTGCAGTGGCTGTTCACAGGCGCGACCATAGCGCGCTACAGTTTCGAATTCCCGGGCTCCAGTGATCCTCCTGTCTCAACCTCCTGAGTAGCTGGGACTATAGGCTTGAGCCACCACACCCGGCTATACAGGGTTATTTCTGAGTTGCAAAGATTACCTGTTTTTCTTCTTTGTTCCACCATTCCATCTTGGCTGCCACAATCAGACAGAAAGCACAGGGACACCTTTTTCTCACATCTGTAGTGGAAACCAGACAGTAACTGCTCCAGGTCTGTCCAGTAGATGCATTCCAACTGTTCCTAAGGGTAGGTGTTGTGTAATCTGCTCACAATTACAATTGATATAAAGAGGAACAGGAAGAGGAAGGAATAAATGAAATCTGCAGGATCTAGAGGTTTATGAGCTGTGGGGTTTACACTGTCAAAACACTTGGTCTTTAGCTTCTGGAAGTCAATAGGGAATTGACCCTGAGGAGGCTGCAGAGAAAAAAAAAATAGCCCAGATCACCTCCTGGTCCCAGCCAGCTGCTGCACCTGCAAAGGAAAGGGATTGTGTGTGATGAGTTCTGTGGGCTGGTTCTTGGCATGTCCCGCACTGGTTATGTTGGGATTTCCGGTCCTGGTTTCTACATCTTTCTCTAGTGGAGCCACTGCATGTGGTCAAATACCTGTATATCAATAGGTTTAAAAGTTTCAGTGTTTATGAAATTACAAAACATTTCCTTCCTCTTGAAACTGGATTTTAATAGGAACGGATCAAATTCGTATGTTTTATTTCAACACTCACCTCGTGTTTGTCTTATATCCCAACAAATGCTTTATTTTCTGGCTAAAATCCTTTGTTTTCATTTAGAATAATTTTAAACCACTTGTGTCTCATGTGCAATTTAGAGAGGTGCTTGTCAAAATCGCGTGAGCACGGGGGTTCTGTTAACATGCAGGTTCTGCTTCAGTCTGGGGTGGGGCCTGAGACTGCATCTCCCATCTCCCCAGGGTGTGGAAGCTGCAGGGCTGTGGACCAGGCTTCTTTGGGTTGCAGATGTTTCGAGGCTATTTCCGAGTGTTTCCCCCCTTGAATGAATGTTTTTCTTTCCCCAATTCCTTTACATTTTAGGGGGATTTTCGTGGAGGGTCTCTCCTGTGTTCTCGATGGCATATTTGGTACTGGGAATGGCTCTACATCATCCAGTCCCAACATTGGAGTTTTGGGAATTACAAAGGTACAAATATTTTTCTAATTACATGGTTGGGCCACTAAACATTCATCATGTTATTCAGTGGTCTGACCACTGCAGGTTTCAAAAGGAAGGGCCTCCAGTTCTGAGATTATCTTCTCTCTCCTCCTCTTCTCTTTGAGTTTTTAGAGGGCTTATTTGGAGTCTCTCCTCACTTCGCTGGCCCAGGAAGGGAGGCACTCAGGTGCTATCATTCCTTCAAGCAGTCTACAAATATTTATTATGCACCAACCCTGTGCCCAGCTGCTGTTCTAGGCGCCTGGGCTACATCAGTGAATAAAACAGTGGAGTTTACATTCTAGCAAGGCAAGACGGACAATCAACCGTAAGCGTACTGAGTCAGTAGATGATACAGGATGCCAGCCATGATAAGCACTGAGGAAACAACATGGGGCAGGGTGAGGGATGACGGGGAGAGGGCGATTAAGTGTTAAATAGTAGCCAGGCAACCTTGAACAAAGACCTGAAGGGTGGAGGGAGGCAGCCTGCAGGTTACCTGGGGAAAACTGTTCCAGGCAGGCTGCATGCCAGGGGTGTGGTAGCCCTGTCCTGGGAGTGGAAGGTCAGCAAGGAGGTCACAGGGGCGGGAGCAGGGTGAGGAGGGGAGGAGGAAGAGCAAGTAGGTCGACCGGGTAACTATAGGTCCCGCAGACCCTATAGGCGCAGCCACAGACACCAGGTGGAAGGGGTACCAAAGGGCACAGCTCAATCTGATTTTTTTTTTTTTTTTTTTTGCTGTGATGGGAATAGACGGGGTCGGGGTCGGGGGGTGGGCAGGGAAAGAGGCAGAAATGGGAAACCAAGTGGAGGTGTCACTAGTTTTAGATGAGAGATGGTGCCACTCACTATAGAATTATGTTGATCTTATATTAAAGAATGGTGCAGGGTCCTTCTTTAAATGAAATCTGATGTGGAGTCTAGTGGATAAAACAAGTCACAGTGAGTCACCCGGGTTGAAGCAGGGCCTGGACCTGAGCCTGACACACTTGCCTCTCCTCCCCTCCCCACCCATACCCTGACACATAAACCTGGGGCTGCCCCGCCCCAAAAGCCTACTCCTAGGCCTTTCAGGTTTATTGCTTTATACTCCAGTTCATATTTACATAAACTTTATTATCACAGCTGCCTTAGGCCAGGGAGTACGGCTTGCCAGGGGGTTGAGGGATGCAGCCCGACCGACCACCAGCAGTGCGTTGTGCAGCTACAGCTGTTCTAACTGGTTCACCCTCCCTGATGGCCCATGCAACTCACAGGTCTCCCTCACCGCAGAACTGTTTGACACCCCCCCAACCCCCACGTGAGATTTTTATAACCAGATAAAACGAAACCAGATACTAAGTTTGATTAATCTTGATTGCATATCCAGGTGAGAGGGAATGACGCATGCATGCACGCACATGCCTGGTTTGTTCATTGGTTTTCGCCAAGTTGGCAGGGCCCTGCCAGTGCCCAGCTTCAGGTGTGCAGATAGCCCCACCTGTCTGTTGCTCCCGGTTTACGGGACATGCAAGGGAAGGCTGCCTGATGGGCACCTCCTCTAGCCCCATCCCTGGGACCCTGGTGCTGCCTATGGCGAGAAGCAGGTGCCGCACACAGGGAGATTAGGGTCAGGTCTCATGGGCACAGAATGGGGCCTAAGCCAGGCCAGTCTTTAGGCAGTTTGCTGCCACAAGCCCGTAGGCACATAGCTAATCTCCAGAAACTACAGCCAGCCCTCCGTGTCCGTGAGTTCCTTAGCCATGGATTCCATATCTGTGGATTCTACCAACCTGGGATAGAAATTATTTGAAAAACTATCACTTCTGTACTGAACACGTACAGACTTTTTTCTTGTTATTATTCCCTAAACAATATAACATAACAACTATTTACATAGCATTTGCATTGTATTAGGTATTATAAGTAATATAGAGATTATTTAGAATACACGGATGTATATAGGTTATATGCAAATACTTTATATTAAAGACCTGAGCATGCTTTGATTTTGGTGTCCGTGGGAGGGCCTGTAGCCAATCCCCTGTGGATACTGAGGATGGCTGTAGTAGTCACATTGTTGTAGATGGAGGGACTCTCGGAACAAACAGTTTACTAAGCCTCCTCCCCTCTGTACCTCTTTAAAAATACACCATCATGTAACATGATCAAGATGGTTTGGGGACTAATTATCTTTATTAAAATTTGAATGGTGCCCGCTTATCCTCACAAGTTACCCTGCCGTCACTTTTTAATGAGCTAATTGATTTTCGCTCTGAATTCCTTTGGACCCAGCCATTGGTGCCACTTCCTCAAGGCCAAGGCAGCATCCAACCAGAGTGTCAGCCCTGGAATCCATTTTGCATCACCCTGAATCATCAGACTTGATTCCCCAAGAAAAGGGTATGATCCATCCATCTACACGGCTGCCTTGGAGCGCAGACGCAGAACTTGCAACAGAAATTTCTCTGTGGCCTGAGCCATGCAGCTGATGGGTGGGCAGAACCCTGCCTGGGAGAAAGGAAGCAGGAGTTCTAGGTGGTATCCTGCCCCTTGTCCAGCTGAAAAACTCCAGAGGAGTCACTTTTCTGAGAACTCAGCTCTGAAATCCTATGGTTCTAGATCTGTGCCGTCCAGCACAGTAGTCACATGTGGCTGTTTCAGTTTAAATTCATTAAAATTAAAAATTCCGTTCCCCAGTGGCACTAGCCACACTTCAGGGGCTCAGTGGTCACATGTGGCTTCCTGACTGCCAATGGACAGCTCAGATAAAGAACGTTTCCAGTATCGTGGAAAGTTCTGTGGATAACACTGATCTAGGCCACTGCACCAAACTTTCAGGGCATGTATTAATAGAAAGCGGATGAGCTGCGTCTCTTCCAAAGAACCTGCCTCTATGTCCCAGCAGCTCTAGTGCTGGCAATCCTTTATCTAGACTGTTTGATCGAGAGTTGTGGTCACCTACCCCACAGTGTGTTCTGAAGTTCTGAGGAGTTGGATTCCGCGTGTGGGACTTACCTGCTGAGTTTGCTTTGATGTCTGTCCTATAGGGAGGGATAGCATGACATGGGTGGGGCGGCTGCTTTGGATTCCAGCCTTGGCTGCATCACTTTGCTGCAGTGTGACCACAGGCAGGTTACGGCCCCTTGGCGTGTTTTATAAAGATGGCCTGCGGGTGTTGTAGCAGTCCTGTCGTGTGGGGTACACAGTGAGGGATATGTGTCATCGTTGTAGCTCTTTAGTCCTTAGTTTATTCCTAGGCAGAGAATAAAATACTGTCTCCCTGGCTTTGGTGGTGTCCGAAGGAAGGTGATTTCCCTTTGCTGCGTTCCACACTGCTGAAGACTTTGGAAAGTCAGAAACCCAGCGTTGGTTTTCTAAAGTCCCAGAGGTAGGGCTGCAGTTCAGGAAGGTCAGAAGGAAAGTGCAGAGGAGATTCCAGGGAGTGGGCCGAGTACAGGGTCAGTACCAGGAGAGCAGGGATTTTAGGGCTGTATCTCTGGTGCTTAGAACAAAAGCATACAAAAGGTACTGTTAATGTTAGTGTTAATACTTGTTGAACAGAACAATGGCTTAGTCGGTGCTTGTTTTTTGACTACATCAGAGGCAGATCAGTCTTCTAGGCATGGTTTTCATGTAAGATTCATTGTTCAGGCACCCCTGGGGCCAGCCTGGCCCCTCCCACCACATACCTAACAGTCCTGCCTGACCCTATGCGAGTCTTTGCACAGGCTGTTCCCTCTGCCTGGATGCTCTTCCTTCAGTGAACTCCTCCTCACCCTCAAGACCATCTCTAGCAGCCCTCCCCAGCTGTTCAGACTTTCTCCTTGCAGCTGGGCCCTCACACAGGGAACAGCATAGCAGTTCAGTTATTTGATCACAAGCTTGTGACTTACTCGTCTTTGTATTTACCCACCCCAGTCTAACAAGTGCTGTTCGCTTAGTAGGTCCTCAGAAATGTTTGTTGGATAGCAGGCTATTTGTAAACAAAAGCCTTGCTTATCCTATAGTAGTTGCCAAGGATATGTCACCTTTCCTTGATTCATCAGTTTGTGTGATCTTTGCCTCTGCTCCCTGCCTTCTGTGGCATGGGAAGGGGCTGGACACAGTGGCTGAGTCTGGCTGGATGGCCGTCTTTGACGTGCACAGGAAAAGGTCAGGCTGACCCTGGGGTCCTCTGAGAGCTTTGCACAGCGATCACAGTGCTCCACCCTTGCGCCCTCCCACACGGCTGCGCCAGCCACACGTGCCCAGTGAGCGTTGTCGAGGTGGCCAGTGCAAGTAAGGAGTTGCATTTAAAATTTTATTTCATTTTAATTACTTTAAGCAGCCATCTTCTCACTGTGAGTCTTACATAAAGCCCTGTGGACACTGCCCCAAGCACTTCTGGAACCTCCTTGCTCCACTTTATGTCTTCAGATGTTTTCCTGGAAGAGGCAGCCCAGAATAGGGCCAGCAGTGCAGGATTCTTGAGCCAGGTGCCAGCTCCACCTCCCGCTGTTGGGTGACAGCAGGCCACATGGTGGCCGCTGGAGGGCAGAGATCAGGTGGAACAGACAAGGATGCGACCATGTGGGAAAAGCCATCCATGGTACTGCAGAGGCCCAGAGCAGGGGACGAGTCCTGGGGTCGAGGAAGGCTTTCAGAGCAGGTAGCATTTAGGTTGTGTTCAAAGGATGTATCTGGGAACTGGCCGGGAAGGTAAACAGGCCTGGTAGGGAGCTCCCAGCATGACCACGGCTGGGACACAGGAGGGAGGGCCAGTAGGCGAGGCTTTGTTGGGAAGAGCCTGAGAAGTGGGTTTTATTTCATGAGCACCAAAGGATTTAAGCAGGGGACTGACCTCACCCAAATCCGTGTGTTAAAAAGATCACTCCGTGGGAATGTAGAGGACAAGTGGATGCAGGAGAGGCCAGAGGTGGCAGGCCCAGGAGGCTGAGTGCTTGCTGGCTACCATTCAGACTGTTTTATGCATGTCTCATTTAGTCCCCAAAGCCAAACCACAGGCTTGCCTGTGACAGAGATGAGGATTGTGAGTCCCCAAGAGGCCGAGTCCCTTGCCCGGTCACACAGTCAGGGGCAGGGCAGGGATGCAAGACAGCGGCAGGGCTGAGTCCTCACCCCTGGGCCCACTGCTATAGCTCCTCTCATGGGCAAGGTGCCATGAGCAGAGGGGGTTGCCTGGGTGTTTGGGTTTGGTCGGATTTAGGGCGTGGGGAGCTAGAACTGTGTCTGACAGGCTTCAGGGAGGGCTGACTTGTTGAAGGGGTGGTGCAGGGAACCCAGGGGAGAGGCAGGGGCAAAGTGTGGCTTTTGCATTGGAGACACAGAGAATCATCCCAGCCAGTGATCACATGAGGGCATTGGAGACCCAGGGCCTGAGCGCAGGGACATCACCCAGGCATGGAGAAGCCACGAGCGATCCTGCGGGTCACCCACGGTCAGGCCAGAGGAGTCAGCTGGGGAGAGGGGAAGGTGGCCAGTATCTGTTCTGGGTGTCTTAGAGTAATTCATGGTGATGTGTACTGAGATCAGTCCCTGTTAACTGAAACTTTCAAGACTAGTTTAAATCTAGGTTTTGCCTGAGGACTCTGTCACAGTTGCCCTGGGCCCTAGGAGGCCTGGGTGGAGTCCAGGCTCCCGGAGGACAGCCAGTGAGCCTGCCCTGCCTCTGCTGCATCCCGCAGGTCGGCAGCCGCCGGGTGATACAGTGCGGAGCAGCCCTCATGCTCGCCCTGGGCATGATCGGCAAGTTCAGCGCCCTCTTCGCGTCTCTTCCGGACCCTGTGCTCGGAGCCCTCTTCTGCACACTCTTCGGTAAACCTCCCCTTTGGGCTCTTTTCTTTACATTTGCTCATTATTAATAAGGATCATTAATAGAGTTTTTGCTGACTGGCTTCAGTAAGAAGGTAATGATAAATTTCTGTTTTAAAATACAGAAGGATATGTCAGGGGTAGGGAACCTGCAGCCTTAAGGCCACATGTGGCCCTGCAGATCCCCGAGTGTGGCCCCTCGGCGGAATCCAAACTTCCTAGAACAAATCCCCATTATAAAAGGATTTGTTCTGTAAAACTGGATTCAGTCAAAAGGCCACACTCAAGGACCCAGAAGACCACATGAGATCCAGGGCCTGAGCGCAGGGGGCATCCCCGGTGTGGCCTTTTGACTGAATCCAAATTTTACAGAAGAAATCCTTTTGAAGACATAACTTGTGTCTTCAAAAAATAAAAACTTACATGACCCTGAGTTGAATTTATGTTAAAAGTAGAACCACCAATAAGAATAATTACTCTATGAAAATTTAGACTAAATTTAGTCTCTTTAATTAGCATTTCCAGTCAATTTAATTCAAATACCTTCCCCTCTGAAAGGGCCATTAAAAACAGACCATTTTTACAATGGGACTCTGGATTTTATCTCTGTTGTAATAATCAATTCAGTTGTAATAATCAATTCACCAGTTATTTGGTTGGGTTCCCCAATTTAATGTAAATGTTTGTGTAGAGAGGAAACCAATGTCCTTATTTTCTACTCAATCTAATGAAAAGTTGATGTGATGTTTACGCCCCTTTCTAAGCCCAAATAGTGCTTAGGCTGAGGGTCCCTTTGGAGCCTCACCTGACCCTATAGCTTCCCCCTTCCCGCCACTGCATGGTTCTCCAGTTTGCCTCTGCTGGACAGAGAGAGGACATCGGGGAGCTGCTGTGGGCAGTTTGTCGTCCACTCTGTAGGGGCTCAGCGGGACTCGTGGTCTGCCGTGTTTGTCTCTCCAGGAATGATCACAGCTGTCGGCCTCTCTAACCTGCAGTTCATTGATTTAAATTCTTCCCGGAACCTCTTTGTGCTTGGATTTTCAATCTTCTTTGGGCTCGTCCTTCCGAGTTACCTCAGACAGAACCCTCTTGTCACAGGTAAGGAAGACAGGCCTTGAATCTTGGGGCAGGAGCTGGAACCATAGCTCTTCACTGGTTGGAATGGACTTTGGAACTTCAGGAATTGTTTCGGTGAACATTCATCTACGTGGCTCTTTGAATTTCACTTTGCAGCAGGGTCTTCCCGGGGTGTACACATAGCCAAAGTGGATGCTAAAGCCTCTTTTTACCAGGACCCTCTCCTGTGGGAGAGGGGTCTCCTTTTACAGAGGCCTCTCTGTAAAACCTTTTGATTTTTCAAACTAATGGCTATATTAGGATGTATAATTTCTTGAAACTGAGCTTCATAGACTTTGAAACACATGTTTTTCTTTTCTTTCTTTCTTTTTTTTTTTAGTGACAAAGTCTCACTCTGTTGCCCAGGCTAGCGTCCGCTGGCATCAGCCTAGCTCACAGCAACCTCTAACTCCTCCTGCCTCAGCCTCCCTAGTAGGTGGGACTACAGGGACATGCCAAGCCTGGCTAATTTTTTTATATTTTTTAGTAAAGGCGGGGTCTCGCTCTTGCTCAGGCTGGTCTCAAACTCCTGAGCTTAAGCAATCCTCCCTCCTCATCCTCCCAGAGTGTTAGGATTACAGGCCACCACTTTTGGCCAAAACACATGTCTTTCTACTGAGAGTATAGCTACTTTGAATTTAAGACTAGCCTTTTTAACTTCTACTTTTTATTTTAATCCCCTGATGTCATGAAGAATAAACAAAGGAAGCATCTTAAGAAATAGCTATTGCTATGGATAATATTTTAGCAAATGTAGAATTGAGAATAATTTTATATATTTTTTGAGGTGAAATTCCCATAACATAAAATTAACTACTTGAAAGTGAACAGTTCAGTGGCATTTAGTACATTGGCAATGCGTAACCATCACTTCTGTCTAATTTCTGTCTAGTTTCATCACCTCAAATAAAACTCCATGGTCAGTAAGCAGTAATTCCCCGTCATCCCCCTTCTCCCAGCCCCTGGCAGCCACCACTCTGCCTTCTGTTTCTCTGCATTCACCTAGTCTAGGCATTTCACATAAATGGACTCACACAACATGGGGCCTTTTGGGTCTGGCTTCTTTCACTCCGCATGCTTTCAAGACTGATACATGGGCCGGGCGTGGTGGCTCACGCCTGTAATCTTAGCTCTCTGGGAGGCCGAGGCGGGCGGATTGTTTGAGCTCAGGAGTTCGAGACCAGCCTGAGCAAGAGCGAGACCCCGTCTCTACTAAAAATAGAAAGAAATTAATCGGACAACTAAAAATATATAGAAAAAAATTAGCCGGGCATGGTGGCACATGCCTGTAGATCCTCCTGCCTCAGCCTCCCCAGTGGCTGGGACTGCAGGTGTGCACCACCATGCCTGGCTAATTTTTTCTATTTTTAATAGAGACAGGGTCTCACTCTTGCTCAGGCTGGTCTCGAATGCCTGACCTCAATCTTCTAAAAAAAAAAAAAAAAAAAAAAAAGACTGATACATGCAGCATGTGTAAGTACTTCATTCCTTTTTCTGACTAGATAATCCAAGGTGTCTGTGTATGTATACACATACACCATAATTTGGTTATCCATTCATCCATTGATGGTCGTTCGGGTTTCCACCGCTGGCTGTCGTGAGTATTGGTGTTTGGTGTACAGATACAGTGAGTGCTCATTATTCGTGATAATTATGTTCTGTAAGGTTGGCACAAACAATTAGTAAATACTGAACCATTGTAGCCAGGGAAAATGTGGCCAACAGTACTGCAACTCACATCTAAATGAATCTTACCTAACACACGCCACAGCCTTCTTGCACTTAGGCACACTTGATGGCCGTTTTAAACAGCAGAATCACCAACAGAAAGCACCAAATGTGACACACATGGTACTAAACAGACTGCCAAAAGGGCACTTGTTTACAGTATGAGAGCCAAAACAGAAAGACGGAGCTTCGCTTTGTTTGACTTCGGCAGGGAACATGTGTTTGTTGGGCGACTAAGGTTTTTCACTGTTCTGTGCATGCCTGGGAATGACTGAAAGTGCTCAGGGTATTCATTTTGGGTTTATAAACAAATTTGAGTGCATAGGCAAATTCACAATTCATTTGAGTACTTGTTTTCAGTTCTCCTGGGTACATACCTAAGAGTGGAATTGCAGGGTCTTATGGTAGTTCTGTATTTAACTTCGTGAGGAACTGCCACACTGTTTTCCACAGTGGCTGTACCATTTTACTCTCCCATCGGCTGTGTACGAGGGTTTCTGTTTCTCTACATCCTCACCAACACTTGTTATTTTCTGTTGAGGATCGTTATATGTTAGGTATACAAAATGTGTGATCTTCCTAATAATAAGGAGATTCTTACTGCTTTTTACATTTTAATATATCACATTCATGGGAGGACATCTGTATAAATCCAGTTGCTCGTGATTGAACGCAGCTAAGCACTAATTTGTAACCTAGGATACTGAAAACTCTTGTTTGATTGCAGGTACCACAGATATTTTTGTTGTGTTATCATTCACTTTATAGTGGCTGTCAGCCTTATGACAACCATTTTTTATTTTAAATTTTATTTTTTGTAGACTGTGCCCCAGTGGCTCCCTAATTCATCATAGGATAAACATCACTCTATTAGATTCATCTTCTCTGCTCCACTGTTAGGAATCTTCCTTATGGAGGTGCCTTTGGATTGTTGTTCAAAGTATTCATAGTAGTAGTTTAAGACATTACTGGCAAATATTCATCTACACGTGTACAACTGAGAAATTTACACTTTCACGCACCGCAATGACTGGTGAAGCTGAGCCCACACCATTGCCCCTTCCTGAGTCAAGGGCAGGCCTGTCCCATCTGCAGCGATGACCCTTGTGTGTATCTTCTATTTCTAGGGATAACAGGAATCGATCAAGTGTTGAACGTCCTTCTCACAACTGCTATGTTTGTGGGAGGCTGTGTGGCTTTTATTTTGGATAACACCATCCCAGGTATGTGGTATATATTAAACATGCTTTTTTTTACATATGTGAGTTACTTTTTTGCCAAATAGCAATGGGAAACAGGAAGAGTGAATCAGTTCAAAGCCATCACTGGTTAAAACTATCTTCTAAAACAGTTGAGATGACACTCCCAGCTTCTGGGTATGAATCAGTTTTTTGCTAATAAATTAATTTGGTTCTCCCGCTGAATGACCATTGGGACCAGCAGGTGAACTCCCTGCATGTGGTTTGATGACAGTGGGATGGGCATGCCTTGAGCTCCTGCCTCCCTCCCTGCACAGCCCGTGCGCAGGGCAGTGTGGCTTTCATTAACTGTTCACGCATTCCTCAGCCAGCTGGGAACGGCCTACTTCTATTTGGGGAGCCTGTCCTTTAAATAAGTCATTCCTCAGGTGGTCTTCCAGCCACCTAAGACCAAAAGGCAGTGGAGGACAGTGGGCAAAAGCTGAGTTCAGTGTGGCCAGAGTCAATGACAAGAGACATGCAGAGGCAGCTGACTCTGCAACACCCGTGATCCCTGCGTCTGGGTGCGTTCTGTGCCGTGCATTGGGTGACAGGCTAGGATGTGATGTGGGCCCTGCCTTGGAGCCTTCCTAGTTTCCTGGAGGCAGCTGCTGTGGACCACTGTAAAATGCTGCCTTGGACACACTGGTAGATTTACCTGCCTTCAAGGAAGGGTGATTCTTATCCTTGGGCTTGAAAGTTTCATTGAAATTTCCCCCTCAGAACAATCCACCTCCAAAAAGCCTCAGTGAAGAGGTTGCTGGGGAAACCAGGATGGACACATCAGGCAGAAGGAATCACATACACGAACAGTTGGCAGGTGTTAGATTTAAGAGGGCCAATAACTAACAGCCTTTCCTAAGCCAGAACTAATTGAGAGAGGGGGCTCAGGAGTTAGGCAGATGAAAAAAAAATTTTTTTTGAGACAAGAGTCTCACTCTGCTGCTCTGGCTAGAGTGCTATGGTATCAGCATATAGCTCACAGCAACCCTAAACTCCTGGGCCCAAGTGATCCTCCTGCCTCAGCCTCCCCAGTGGCTGGGACTGCAGGTGTGCACCACCATGCCTGGCTAATTTTTTCTATTTTTAATAGAGACAGGGTCTCACTCTTGCTCAGGCTGGTCTCGAATGCCTGACCTCAATCTGTCCTCCCACCTTGGCCTCCCAGAGTGCTGGGATTACAGGCGTGAGCCACCATTCCCGGCCAGACAGATAAAAATTAAAATCTGCATTATTAATTCAAACGCTGATGGAAGGGTTATAGCTTAAACGTTAAAAAAAAAGTCACAGACTTCCTACGCATTGCACCATAGAATCCAGGAGTTGCTAAGCCCTGTGAGCCCAGGTCTTTCTCCCTGACTTATCTGTCAAGGTTCAGAGTGGCCAGGAGTGTTAGACCAGTGGAAATTCATGCTCACAGGAGCACAAGTACATGACTTTTGCACATCCCCCGACCCTCCTGCACTAACGTGGAGCAAAGCAATAGAAAACTTGGGCCTGTGTGGGTGGGGGGTGAGTGAGCAGCAACTGGCTGATGAAGGCAAGTATGTTATAAGAAAGACTCCGAGCCCCGTTTTGTAGACTCAAGTGTGCATTTTAGAGAGGTATTTTTTACATAGTATTTGAAAACAGATTTCGGGGATGGGGTGGTGAGCTGGAAGACTGGATAACCAGTTAGGAGACTGGATATATATGAAACGAGAGTCTCATTTTCGGTAGAACTATGAAACTAAGCATTCCTTTGTTTTATTTTGGGGGGTTTGTGACAGGTACCCCAGAGGAAAGAGGAATTCGGAAGTGGAAGAAGGGCGTGGGCAAAGGGAACAAGTCACTCGACGGCATGGAATCCTACAATTTGCCGTTTGGCATGAACATTATTAAAAAGTACAGGTGCTTCAGCTACTTGCCCATCAGCCCCACCTTTGTGGGCTACACGTGGAAAGGCCTCAGGAAGAGCGACAGCAGCCGGGGCTCGGACGAGGACTCGCAGGCTGCGGTATAGCCCCAGCTGCGCCAGACGCGGTGAGGCGTGTGCCCATCGTTCCTCCTGGGTAACGAGAAGTGAAATACATGTTTGTATATCTACATTTACATTCTTCACCCCAGAGCTAAGACAGATCGCAAGTAGCTTTTCTGTTGTGGGTGGTGATTGTGTCTCATACGTGTCTCGCCTATCTCCTTATTTAAGCCCTTGACCCCTTGCCCTTCGAGAGTGTCCATTGCTGGCCGTGGTCACTGAACTTGAAGTTCCAGGCCCCCCGTGGGAGTGGGTGTTTGAAATCCGCAGTGATTCCTTGCGTTCAGTCCCCTTCTGCCACCCAGTGCTGGCTTTCCTACAGGTTGCTCTGGGTTCTGGGGCTTTTTGTCTTGGGAGCCCCCGGACCCACTTCCCGTTTATTTGACCTCGGCCTGCGCCTGCAAAGCCCTCCTCTGACCAAGGGGCACCAGTGTCCTCACAGTGTCATAACTGGCTCATGTGATTCTGCTGTCCCTGATAACTCCCGTAGGAGGAGGCTGTCACCCTGATTGGAGGCAGTGCTGTGGCTGCCCTGCACCCAGGGCTGGGCACAGGTCAGGTCTATACAGATACTGTTGAATGAAAATCTGTTAGGGGGATTGGAGCAGAAGGGAAAGGACCCCGAAGCCAATGTCTGATTCTCAACTGCTCCTTCCCCCGCCGCCCTGGCCCCAGCTGGCCTCTATTTACTTGTGGCCGAGACACTCTATCTGGCATTTATCACTACTGGCTGGTGACGGGTACAGAGTGCCACGCAAGGACACCCATCAGACAAGTTCACAGGGGTCTCGGCTCTGCTGTCATGTGATGCAATTGTCGCGCGCATCTATAATCACAAGGTTTTATTCCTATTTAATGTTACTGACTATAGCAGATTTTTGAAATCAGTGTTTTCCCATGTGACCCTCTTTCCTTGCGCCCCTATTACTTGTCTCCCCCACCCCCCTAATTAAGAAGAGAACCAGCATCTGTAAAGCTGTGGACACCGTCAAGGAAGCTTGTTGTAACGGCTTTTGGAGGCCAGTAACCATTGTTGTGGTTGTGTTTTGTATTGCTTGATACCATGAAAGTGTAAATACTGTAATGCCTAATCTATTTATCAAAACTGACTACTGGACCAGAGCCCAGAATCGGTGGGTCAAGTCATATGTGAATTTGTTTTGTGAAGAAGGGAAGCTGGGCAGGTACCAGACAGGGCCGCCACGTGGACTGGTCCATCATCCGGGAAACTGAATACTCCAGTTCTGTGGCAAGTCATTTCTGGCAGTCATAGCCTAAGGAGACTTTCTGTGTGTTGTCACACTTGCCTGCCCATTAGATCTTGATTTTGCAGAGGGTAAGGTTGGATCCCTTGGCCAAATCCTGCCTTTCTTGTTTAAGTTGTCGCGGAAGGTGGTGGGAAAAGCAGCCAGCAGGCTCCCTCTGTTGAGAGAATTCTAAATAATAACACTAAATTCTTTCTGAAAAAAATGATTTCTGTCGAATTTGGTTTGAAGTTTTTCAGCCAAAGGAAAAGCCTGAGATACGAAGTATTGACCTTGTTTCATGAGGTCATACGTCTTATGGGGTCATTGACCTGGGTGAGCTTTGGTGGGCAGCAGGCGTTCCTGACTCCTGTCTCCAGCAGCAGGGCGCGGTTCTCAGCAGCCTCACGTCCACGCGGTGTGTTTCCTGTCCCCCTCAACCCCGGGCTGGCTCGGCTTTCTGCACTGTGACGCTGACAGCATCGTTGTGTCTCTGCAGCCCCCGTGGACTCCTGGAAGTCTGGGACTTCAGGGTTTATTCTAGAAGAACACCTCAGAGCCACTACATTGTTTTGCCAAAATCTTACTGCAGATGAAGTAAAGAACTTAGATTCTAAATTACATTTAATTTTGTATATTTCTTAAAATGTGTATTTGACGCATAGTTTAGAAGCACACTGGTTCACAATTTCCATACCTCTTACTGTGGTAAGCCCTTGAGGTTCACGTCCTTCTACCCTGAGCTGCTCTCAGTTCCTTCTATTTGTATTTTGCTCAAGATCTCCAATTTCTCTGCTCTGAAAAATGGGGGAAACTGCTAAACATCCCAGAGATTTGCAGTATTCTAGCTCTCTAGCTGTGCAGAAGGACCAAATAGACAAATAAAAACAATGAGCACCATCATCAATTCTGGAGCAAGTTCTCTTCAACCTAACTGGGCATCTTCACTCCTCTGAATAATACTCAGGGTGTGTACTTTAGATGTCCAGAAACCCACTCCCTTCTGAAGCCTCTCCTTGGGCTGGGTTTTGTTTGGAGGCTTCGTCCCTGCTAGTCTGGGGCATGTCCTCTGCAAGCATTTGTATCCTCAGCACCTCCCACTGAGAGAGGGTTTCCGCCCTTCTTACTCCACTGGGGAGCATCTTTCGATTTTCTGTCCAAGGAGGCGGAAGGGGATCAGAGGTAGGGAGAAAAGAGGCCAGCCTGCTTAGATGCCTCCCTTGAATCCGGTACTTTCTGCACAGCCTAGAGTGATTGCAGTCCCCTGATAACTAACGTATCTTGCACATGCAACACATTCACAAACCACTTTAGGAAGTGGTCCTCCTGGTAGCACATACGCTATGGAATGAAAGTCTATATTTGAAAAAAAAGAACGAATCCATCTGCTTCTTGGGTTTAAGCACACACCCAAAGGGAGGTTTTGGGGGACTCAGTGGCCATGCGTGGTCATAACACTTCCCATTCACGTTGTTGTCCTGCATCGCTGGGACTTCGGACCATTGTGCTTTGTTTTGCCAGTAGATTGTTCTAAAATACTTTGGATGTGAATGTCCTTGCAGGCCATTCAGTTTCCAGTTTCCATAGTGACCACCTACCCTGCCACCTTCACATGTCACCTGCCTGGTCCCTGAAAGAAAGCATTTGCGCTGGCAAACCCAACATGGAAAGCAGAAAGTGTTGATAAGGACAGGAGATGATGCCATCTTCACAATGTGGTGGGGGGGGACCCCACCACTGGTTCATGGAATAATAGGAAATAGCTGTAGTCTTTGTACGCGATCTTCATTCTATTAGCAAGTTTAGTGTAGATTTACTGATATGTTTACTTTCAGAATCATTAAGAGGATTTCAAATTTTAACTTTTAGTTTCTTGGGATTGAGCAAGGCAAGATAAGTGGCTTAGCCATGCCAGCCAGAGTGCAGCATCGTGGGTCCTGTTGGTTTCCCATTTTCATGGTAACAAATTCACACACAGGTTTTGCTTTATACTGTAGAATACTGACTTTCATGATGACAACTTGGTTTATGCATGAATATTGCAGTATTTCCATATAGTAAAATAACATTTCTACCCAGGATAATAGTCACAGTTTTCCAGGGAGGGAATGATATAATTTTCATGACAATGTCATGTGATGATAGAATTTCTCCATTGATGAATCTCTAGTATGTGTGTATACTTTATTTACCCATCCACGTATTTTATGACCATGAGCTAAGTTGTTATTTCTTTCATTCGTGTCCCTGCTGAACTATTGGTACTAGCAACTTAGATGTAAAGTTGTCAAGCCTAATCTTCAATAATACCGATGCCATAAGAGTGGCCAGGCCAGACAGAGCTGAAGCGGAAGCCTCATTCCAGAACTGGTCTGGCCAGAGAAGAGGCAGCGTCCTGCAGGCAGCTGTTCCTGGGGTGTACGCTCGCTGCATGCACCGGCCCGGCCTGGCATGGCTGGCAGGAGGGCCTGCCTGCCCTGCTGTCGCTGGACGCCAGCTGTGCGCACCCAGCCACGCCCACTGTGCACCCTGTGAGCGCGTGGCCCTGTGCCCAAGCATTCACACAGCTCACTTCTCCAGGGAGCCTCCCCTCAGCTTCAGAGAAGAGGCCGGGGATGCAGGTGCTGCCTGTTGTACTCTGTCCCCTTGTGATTTGGACACAGGGAATAGGACATCTCCTCCCCTCTACCCCTCCTCCAGAGAGACCCGAGTAGCGCGAGAAGGCCGCCCGTTTTTGCCAGTGTTCAGCTTCCGCCCACGGACCCATGCAGCACGTGAGTGCTGGAGGTCTCTTTGCAGCAGCCTCACAAACATTCCCATCCTTTCAGGTTGTCGTTGACCGTGCCTCACCATCACCCCGTCATCCAGCGTCCATAGCATTGCTGTGCGTGTTTCCAGGCCCTTAGGACACCCTTATCAGCGTTGCCATCTTACTGACGGTTCAAACGAATCTCCTTTTCTGTTCGTTAGTAACAACCTTTGTTTGACACATTAATACATTTCTGACTGTTCTTAAAATAGTGGGGATGCCTATATTTTCCTTGAGTTTTTGTGACTGACTTTGGCTATATACCTTTCTGGGATTTTGTTCGTTTATTTTTATTTTGCATACAGAGGGTATTTGGGGTGGGGTTGTTTTTTGAGATGTGTAATTCTTTTATGGAGTTTTTAAAAAGAATTTTCATATTGTTTTTCTAACATGGCTTCATTAAATGTTTAAGTATTTTAAAAAATATGTAATATTTGGACCAGATGTTGTGAATAATAGTAGAGATAAAGCTATTTTATTCTGTATTTTTAAAACCTGTTCCGTACAAATAAAAGCTCTCCTGGACACAGTTTTGCTATTCACGTGCCTCCTTCTTGGGCTGGTCTGTAGTAAAACTGCGCGATCATCTGTCAGTATCTGCAGGGAATTGGTTCCAGGACCCCCTCAGATGCGAAATTCCAAGGGTGCTCAAGTCTCTGATGTAAATTGGTATAGTATATGGATATGATCTACACACATCCTCCTGCGTACTTTGAATCATTTGTATATTACTTATAATACTTAATACTGTGTAAGTGCTGTGCGAATAGTTGTTACACCGTATTTTTCAATTTTTTAAAATATTTTTCATCCGTGGTTGGTTGAATTCAAGGATGCAGAAACCTTGGATATGAGAGGCTGATTGATTACAAGTTATCACCTAGGGAGGGAAATCGACTATTAAGAAATTCAGTTCAGCAAGTTCAGAGGCGTTATCATCAGGTACCTGGAAGACTGAACAGTGAAAGCTGGAGCAAAAGTACAATCAGTCCTCCCTCCCAGAGCACCACGACATGGGCGGA